CCTGCCGATGCAGGGGACACGGGTTCGTGCCCCGGTCCGGGAAGATCCCACATGCCGCGGAGCGGCTGGGCCCGTGAGCCATGGCCGCTGAGCCTGTGCATCCAGAGCCTGTGCTCCGCAACGGAAGAGGCCACAACAGTGAGAGGCCCTCGTACCGCAGAAAAAAAAAAAAAAAGAAAGAGGGCAGAGATAAAGCAGATTTTCTAGGTGGGAAAAAACAGCAGAGATGGTTAAAGGCAAAATTCAGGAAGTTTCACTTGTAAACTCCTTCCTCCATTTCCCCACAGAACTATAATAATCCTGAAACACTCATCAGAACTTTTGGAGTGCGCATGCTTGTGTACCCATAGGACATGGATGTTGAGGCTTATAGGAAGAGCAGCAAGAAACCAAAGTAGCCTGGTTAGAGGCAGATCACACAAATACATATGATCCTCATAAACTGCAATTGTAAACTTCAGAGAAAAATATCCATGGACTACAGGGACATGGAAAATTATTTCCTGATGTGCAACCTTGGTTTTCTCTCCTCTTGCAACTCCATCCCTGGAAACTATGAACATCAGCTCACTGCACTAACATCACTTAATCACTGGCAAGTTCAACTTAATGATCCTAACACTTATTTTATGATAACAAATGGATACACCAATTACATCAGAAATCCTTCCAATTTCTTAAAATCTCCTCAAGGCATATTTAATCCAAATGAAATTAAATTATTTAACTGCACGGAAATACACATGAAACATAGCTGTTTCCCCTAAGGTGAAGATGTTACCGTAGAGAAAACAGAAGGTGCAAAAGATTTCACTTACTTGCCACTGAAAGCTGAAATAAATTTTTTTCTGCAACCTAAAATATAAGTTCCTAGCTTAAAGGATGGAGATAAAAGGAAGTACTTACAAGCTGGATGCACTAGTGGTGATTCAAATGAGCTCTAGGGGAGTATTATAATTGTTATTGTTAGTTCTGAAAGACTATTGAATATGAATAAGTAAGCATTTTAAATAAAAAAGAAGGGAAGAAAAAAGAAAGAAGAATGGGAAAAGAAATAGTAAAACGGGGGGGAGGGGCAGGAGTGGGAGGAATGAAGAACCATCATAATCCCAGTTTCTGGGGATAATTCAATGATTTTCAGGGAAAATCTGTGTTTACTACTTCTGATCAATGTCAGAAGCAAGCCTCCTATTTATACACATAAATAAGTCTCCATTTGAAAATGACTCTTTTAATTCATCAGCCCGTCCTATGCTGGGTTTTTTTTGCTTTTTTGGGTATTTTTGCGGTACGCGGGCCTCTCACTGCTGTGGCCTCTCCCGTTGCGGAGCACAGGCTCCGGAAGCGCAGGCTCAGCGGCCATGGCTCACGGGCCCAGCCGCTCCGCGGCATGTGGGATCTTCCCGGACCGGGGCACGAACCCGTGTCCCCTGCATCGGCAGGCGGACTCTCAACCACTGCGCCACCAGGGAAGCCCCTATGCTGTTTTAAAACTTGCTATTACACAAAACAATTACACTCAAGTGTGCAAGAGCTATCTGATTACCCTCAAGAGGCTTTACCCTCTAAAGCTCACTGAAGCTTTAGAAAAGTCAGAAAGTCAACTGCCTGCAGGGGCAGGCGAGTAACGCGAATGAAAAGGGCGAGGACTGGGTGTTAACAACCAGGAATGTTTTTCTCCCCAAAGAAGGGCCACAAATCCATCTACCTCAGGCTCAGGAGTTTGTGTGAAAGGCAGGGATGCTGCATCTAGAGTAGACATCATTCTACAGCCAGAGGAAAATGGGTAAAATGGAGAGATACAGGAATAGATGGTGAGAAGAAAAAAAGTGGGGGGGAAAGAGATGAAGATGAGAGTAAAGAAAACAATGAAACAAGAAAGATGTGTCTATATCCAGAGCAGGAAAGTGTTGTTAACAATTTATTCTGAGAAGCTAAGAGATTGAGAGTAATTCCAAACCACGCTCATTCATTATCAACCACATCAATTTCTTAGAGATTTGTCTTCCCTTCTTTATCTGAAGTACAAAGGGAACTTTCTATCTCCTGGCAAAATCTTGACGCTAAGGGGTTCAGAAACCCTAAGAAAAGATTCAGTTCACTAAGGAGGTGAAACGTCGCCAGGACCTCCACAGAAAATAAGAATAACCATGTTGACCATAATTAGGCTCTTTCTACAAAGAATAATTTTCACGTAGTTAATGACTTTAAACATGTGAAGACTTTTCAGTTTTAAATATGAAGAAAAAATTATATAGGCGCAAAAAGGCAAGAGAAAGCTCTTCTGAAATTATAAAAGTACATACCAATGTGACATATTATTAAATTGAATTTTATAATGGTTTTAGAAACTTTTATTTATTCCTCATTGAAAGAGATTAACTATATTTTTTTCTTGACGGTTGTACTTCTCTTACTTCCATATATGACTGCTTTGACAGCCAAACAGATAGCATGAGGCTAAGTATTAGTGTAACTACAAAGAATAATGAACAGAAAGTTCTACCTGTCATCAGACATCATAAAATTTTTACCATTGTGTCATCACTCATCTTTGAAAGGGAAGAAAGTAAATCCAATTAGGAATTGGGAATGATTCTTTGAAATTAAAAACATGTTTTCTATTTCTTTCTACCAAAAATAATGTGTCAATACAGATCAAGAGTAGGAACAGGTGTAATTATAATTACAAATATTAAAAATAATAAATCCTATATATGAAATAAATATGGGACCCATTTAGAAAGAGAAAATAGAAGCATCAAGCAAGGTTGATATTCCTGCTACTATTAATAATCACAATTTATTGAAACGCCCTTATTTCTGGAACACGTTTTACTTACCAAGCACTTTAATGTCACACAACAACACTCAAGTTCATAATTTTCCCGGATAGATGGGAATGGTTCATTCTCTATACCGTGCATTTTATGCAGAAATAGAAAAGTGAGACATCAGGAATGGAAGCATTTTTCACAAGGACAAAAGCCTGCCAGAAGTTCAACTAGCTTGGACTTTTCTGTCATTGGAGAACAGAATTTCTCTCAAGGGTCATAATCAAAGTTCTGCTGAAACTAACCATATTGAAAATGCCTTTCGACGTTTTGTACTTTTGTGACCATGTGAAGAGAAAGATCAGTGTCAACTGAATGTTGGGACCTGTTTGGCCAAGCTGGGAGCACTGAGATTTTCTTTCTAAATATTTTTATCTCCTCTACTAAACAGAAGCTCCTAATATTACCGAGACGTCACTTGGCAGGGCTAGATTTAATAGAACCCAAGAAATGCCAACAGAGATCCATTTCAGTTAATCCCTAATTTGTTGCAATGAAAAAAAGAAAGGAAGGCATCTTCTCTTTTCTCAGGTCAGTATATTACGGTTTCATTAACTATTACTGCAACAGCTCTCACATCGTCCTAAACACACACAATCTCAAATGAACACTCACCACAAACACACAGGAAGAAGCAGATGCAGGGATAGGCAGTGAGATGAAATTTGCCTTTTTGCCTCTGAATCTTCAACTAGTCAGAAATGTCTGGCAAGTTTGCTACACTTCAGAGGAAACCATCCAGCTTCCAAATAAAGTTGTCTTTTACCTTATGTGAACAGAGGTGGGGCTCAAAGAATAATAATCTGCTCCAGGATATACAGTCAGTCAAAAATTAACATTATTTTCTGACATTTGAGTGCATTTCCCAAACCCATGGGACATGCCCCCCTTTATAATAATTTCCCAGAATTTCTTCATTTAAAATGCACACAGGACAGATGGCTTCACCCTCCACTTCTCAGATGATCTCAGAGAAATTAATTAAGTTGGCTGGGGGAAAGCCGTGGGAGACTGTCCTTCTCGGGAGCATGTTTAATCAGACCCCGCTGCCTCTGAGTTAAGAGCGGCAGCCTCTGCAATACTCAAGGGGCTTCGCTTCCCTTGCCAAGCCCCGCCAGCCCAAGCAGGGCCGTACATAAACTCACCTGCCGTTCTTGGTCACGATCATTTCATTAGTGACTTCCTTGAACCTCTGCCAGAGAGGGGCATCTTCCAGGATGATCTGAAGTTGCTTCTCCGTAGGGTCGCCTTTTTCCCTCCCTGCCTGAAGCTCACTTTCCACCACATTGAGCAGGCGAGAGACGGTGCCATCGCTGGTCTTCTGTGTGCCCAGCTCACTCATGGCCACAGGCCCCTCTCAAACTTTGCTGAGAAACGTTACCTACTTTGCCTGCTTCCACCTCTTTTCTCCTGTCACTTGCCTGCTTTTCAAATCCAGCTGGACATGCCTGGGGAGCTGGGGGAGAGACGCCCTGTCTCTTGCCTAAGCTCCTAGCATGACACCCCTGAAAGTCTCCAAATTATAACACCAACCTGTTAAGCTTTAGTTGGGGTGGGGGATGGAGGGAGGGGAGAGATGGGGAAGAAAAAGCCCTCTCTTAATTACTCATTGGATCAGGTGGGAGACAGCCTGGCTTTCCCATTGGCTGCTGTGTATAGAGTAGACATTTAAGAAGAGTACTCCATCCAAATTATCAGGCTTTTATCTTGCTGTACCTGAAGAGGTCTAATCGGTGGATTGAGGACCATTTTCCTGTTAATTAAAATTGTTCTGGGCCCAGACTGCAACAATCAGGCAAATCATGTTTGTGTATAAATCATGGCATGTGGCACCTATAGGGAAAGAGGTCCTGGGGAGGATCGACAAACTTGATGCCAATACAGGCTTTCCTGACCCAGTCGAGAACCTAAATCCATAAGCTATTCGCTAGCTCTGAATAGAATAGCATATATGGAAGGCCAAGGGCACTGTGCCAAGGAATACGACAACTGTGTCGCAGAATGAAGGAAGGTACTCTGTGTGCCACCTGCTCAAGGGTCAGAGATCAGGAGAAAAGTGCTAAGGACCTCTTTCTCCCAGGGTATCCCCTACTGGTCATCGCTCTCCTGAGGAATCCTACACATTCACACCCTGCTCATCTCAAGTGTCCTCATTGCCTCTGCAAGCAGACAAGCTCTGAACCTGGTTCCTCCTCCCTAGAATCCACAGCCTAAGTATTTCTTATCTCCAAACCTAGCCAGTGGGAGAAAAAAAAAAAATCATTTAGCATCATATTAGTCTAAGGAAGCACTCTGCCCCCAGTGAGTGAAAATAAGCTTTTTACATTATTAGGCAGAGCAATTTTAATCCCAAGTCCAGAAAGGCATTCTGGCTTTCCCCTTAGATGGTCCATGGCCTATCTGGCATTCTGGGGTGAATCCCACTTTCCCCTTGGGAGATAATACTAGTAGAAAACATTTCTTTTACCCATGACACATAGTACAACTGGGGAGGGGCGAAGGGCAGAGATAGCTCTACCTCCTCAACTCTGAGTAGATCCTGGGACTTTGTGAGTTTTTCTCTTGCTACAGCAGAAAGCCATAGAAGATCCAAACAAAAGGAAAACAGTATAACTGACTCACTTTGCTGTACAGCAGAAACAAACACAACAGTGTAAGTCAACTATACTCCCACAAAGGAAATTTTTTTTTAAAATGTATTTTCCCTTAAAAAAGGAAAATAAAAGCAAAAAGGTAAGATAAAGTCAGGGTGAGGATAATATACAAAATGCATTCAGTGCCTCCTAAGTGCCAAATACCAATGAAGAATCCAATGATGAATGAAGCAGAAATGGCCCTGCCTTCGTGGAATTAACAACCTGAGAGAGAAGATGAAAGACATAAAGTAAACAGCTGAGTAGTTACCAATAGTGATAAGTCTATGAAGACTACGTAAAGGGGTGAGGTGGTGGAGAAAAGTGGGTGCAAAGCAATGTGGGGCTGTATGGACAGTCATCTCTGAGGAGGAGACATTTCAGCTGAGACCAAAAAGATGACAAGGATTTAGTCAGGAAAGAGTTGGGGGAAGAGTTCAGGCAGAGGAACCACATGCAAGAAGCATGGCTTGGGCCATTTAGAGAAAAATGAGGGGGGCTGGCGTGGCAAGAATATGGTGGTGAAGAGAGCAGAGTGAGATGTGCTTTAAGAGGGGCCTTATGAGCTATAGGAGGGAGTTTAGATTTTATTCCATATGAGAAAGGAAACTACTGTATTAGTGTGTATTAAAGTAGGAAGATGGCATGTTTTGCTTTGTGGTTTTTGTTTTTTTTTTAATCTGGATGATTTACAGAGAATATAGTAAAAGGCAAGAGTTGAAGAGAAAAATTAGAGAGCTGTTATGGTGGTTCAGGCGAGAGATGGTGGTGGCTTAGCCTAGGGTGGTGGCTGTGGCCACAAAGACACATGATTGGATGGACTCTAGATACATCTTAGAAGTGGATATGGCAGAAGCACATGAGGGACTGGATGAGGGGGGAGGGAGGGAGTGTCTGCAGTGAATGATTATTAGATGCGAGGGCCATTTACTGAGATGGGGAAGGATGCAGGGAGAGGGGTTTACAGAGGTACTGCTTTAGTTAGGGAAAGAAAAATTTTCATTTTCACGGAATTAATATTGAGAAGATTGTGACAGTCTAAATAAGATGACCATGCCCTAATCCCCAGAACCTGTGAATATGTTACCTCACGTGATAAAAAGGAACTCTGCTGCTCGACCTCATATGTCATCAGGGAAATGCAGGTTAAACCAATAATGAGTTAACACTACGTGACTATTAGAATGACCAAAACCCCAAACACTGACAACACCAAATGCTGATAAGGACGCAGCACAATAGGAATTCTCGCTCACCACTGGTGGGAACGCGAAACGGTACACCCACTTCGAAAGACAGTTTGGTGGTTTCTTACGAAACTAAACATACTCTTACCACACGATCCAACAATCACACTCCATGGTATTTACTCAAACAAGTTGAAAACTTATGTCCACACAAAATCCTGCACACATGTTGACAGCAGCTTTATTTATAACTGCCAAAACTTGGAAGTTACCAAGAAGTCCTTCAGTAGGTGAATGAATTAATAAACTGGCACATCCCAACAATGGAATATTATTCAGTGCTAAAAAGAAATGAGCTATCAAGCCATGAAAATACTTGGAGGAAATTTAAATGTATATTGCTAAGTGAAAAAAAGCCAATCCAAAAAAGGCTACATACTGTATAATTCCAACTATATGACCCTCTGGAAGAGGCAAAACTATAGAGACAATGAAAAGAACAGTGGTTGCCAGGGGTTGGGAGAAAGAGATGAATAGGCAGAGCACAGAGGACTTTTAGGGCAGTGAAAATACTCTGTATGATGTCACAATAATGAATACCTGCCATTATACGTTTGTCCAAACCCCTAGAATGTACAACACCAAAAGGGTACAACACCAAGAATGTAAACAATGGACTTTGGGTGATGATGACGTGTCAATGTAGGTTCATCAATGTGACAAACGTACCACTCTGGTGCAGGATATTGAGAGTGGAGGAGGCTATGCATGTATGGGGGTAGAAAGTATATGGGAAATCTCTGTACTTTCTGCTCAATTTTCCTGTGAACCTAAAACTGTTCTAAAAACTAAAATCTATTAAAGGGGCGGGGGGAGGAGGCTTTGCAGGTATGACTAAGTTAAAAATTTGAGACGGGGAGATTTTATCCTGGATTATCAGGGTAGGCTCAAGGTAATCACAAGGGTCTTTATAAGAAGGAGGAAAAAGGATCAGAGTCAGAAAAGATGTAGGCACAGAAGCAGAAGTCAGAGAGAAGAGAAGATAATGTGCTGCTGGCTTTGAAAACGGAGGAAGGGGTAACAAGCCCAGGAAGTTGTAAAAGATAAGGAAATGGATTCTCCCCTACAGTCTCCAGAAGAAAGAAACACCTGCCAACACCTGGATTTTAGTCCAGTGAAACTGATTTAAGATTCCTGAGCTCCAGAACTGTAAGGTGATAACTTTGTGTTGCTTTAAGCCACTAAGTTTATGGTAATCGTTACAGCAGCAATAAGAAACTAATAGAAAAACCACAAGACATCTAAGCAGAGATTTCAAGAAGGAACTGCTTAGAACTATGGCACAAGTGTGGCTCTGAGCTTCCTAGCAGCCCGTGTAAAGTGGGGGAAATACAATCTGGCATACATTACACTGTGCTCCTAAACTAAAAACAAGCCATTTGCCCAAGAGAAATTTCTCCTATGAATCTTTAGAGGAAAACACTGTGTGATACACTGAGCAGTGTTTCCTCAAACAATCCATAAATACCAGTAAGATGAGGATCCCTACCTTCAAAGACTGTAACAATCTAGAAGAGAGAAAAAGGCATATGCCCAGGGAATTCCAATACAGATATGTGTGAAGCGTACCAGTAAGGGAGAAAAGAAGGAAATAATACTATTTTTCTTATCAGTTATATCCAAATCAGTGTGCCGCTGAAAACTAGGTTAGCACATGAATATCTTCAGCCAGTGGGCCCAGTAAAAAATGGCCCTTGGAGAATAGCACAGGCAATGGCTCTGGGGTGAACCCCAAGAGTCACCTAGCAATAAAAGATGGTTTACATTCTCTTGACTTTTAATCTGACCTGAGTAGACGATGGCTTCACTTTCCAGGCTATGTCTCCTCTAAGGTCTGTACTATATTAGATAGTTTAGATTGAACCATATGAAATTACTGTTATTCAACCACTGTTTTATTTGAAAAAATAGCAATTTCATATGATTCAGCTAATCATTAGATTTGAAACTAATATAAAATGCTTTGACTGAGACAGCTATCTAATAATATCATTTTACTTAGATCACTGTTTTCTAGTTACTAAGTATCTTGCTATAGATAATTTTGAAAAATATAAGCAAGTAAAGAAAAACTACCCATAATCGCAACACCCAGAGATGACCTCTGCTAACAGGTTTGGTGTAGATATTTTTTATTTACAATATATGCATACTTTTTCCTTTAAAAATGGAATTTTTAAATGCTTCTGAGTAGGCATGGCAGATGGAACACATTCTTCTCTATCTGCTCTCCAAACAGCTCTAAAATGGTACTAAGGTAAAATGAAATGTAAACCCACAAAGTTGAGGAGTACAAGAGAGGAAACAACAGCAGATAAGAGATGTCAACAAAATTTTGGAAACTGACAAAACAAACGGCTGAGTGGTAACTGATGAGGCAGGTCAGAGAAAGTTGAAATCTAAGTTTCAAGGTGAAGAAGCCAATAAGAAGCAAGCCAATTGTGCCACAAAACTCTGAAATATCTCAGGGATTTGATGCATCATATACCTCTGAAAGGAAGAGTGGGCAGGTAGTTCTGGCTAGGACCAAACAGGAAAATTTCTTGAAATTTTATTTAAGAAACAGTTAACTTTTGAGATCTTTACCCCTCAGCCAGGCAATTGTGCCTACCCATCGCAGCAGAAAACAAGAGAATGACTTGCAGAAGAGAGGGGATTTGAGAGGATTTGTACTCAAAGACAGCAGTCGCTGGTGGGGGTAGTGGTGAGGAACATACTGAAAACAGAGTATTATGACACACTCCTTAGGTAATAGACTTGGTGATTCCTCAATGCAATGACCCATCCCCAATGATCACCAACCCCAATCAAATGGGAAAAGCCAACCTTTGTAAAACTCTGCCCATGCACATAGGCATTCCATTGGCATTTACAGGCACACCTCAGAGATATTGTGGGTTCAGTTCTAAACCACCACAACGAAGCAAATATTGCAATAAAGAGAGTCACATAAATTTTTTTGGTTTCCCAGTGCATATAAAAGTTATGTTTACACTATACTGTAGCCTATTAAGTGTGCAATAGCATTATGTCTAAAAAACAATGTACATACCTTAATTAAAAAATTCTTTATTGCTAAAAATGCTTTATTGCTAAAAAAATACTTTATTGCTAAAAAATGCTAACCATCAGAAAATTCTAGTCTTCACGGACTTGCCTGGTGGTCCAGTGGCTAAGACTCCACGCTCCCAATGCAGGGGGCCCGGGCTTGATCCCTCATCAGGGAACTAGATCCCACATTCCGCAACTAAGGGTTCACATGCCACAACTAAAAGATCCCACATGCCGCAACTGAAAGATCCCACATGCCGCAACTAAGACCTGGAGCAGCCAAATAAATCATTTTTTTTTTAAAAAAGAGTGGGGGCTTCCCTGGTGGCGCAGTGGTTGAGAGTCCGCCTGCCGATGCAGGGGACACGGGTTCGTGCCCCGGTCCGGGAAGATCCCACATGCGGCATAGCGGCTGGGCCCGTGAGCCATGGCCGCTGAGCCTGCACGTCCGGAGCCTGTGCTCCGCAACGGGAGAGGCCACGACAGTGAGAGGCCCGCATACCGAAAAAAAAAGAGTGAATTTAGAAAATGCTAGCCTTCAGGAAGTTATAATCTTTTTGCAATAGTTACATCACACAGATTACAACAAATATAGTAATAATGAAAAAGCTTGAAATATGGTGAGAATTACTAAAATGTAACACAGAAACATGAAATGAGCAAACGCTTTTGGAAAAACGGCACTGATAGACTTGCTCGACACAGGGTTGCCACAAACCTTCGATTTGTAAAAAGAACCCACTATCTGTGAAGTGCAATAAACCAGGTATGCCTGCATGTGCCTCAGCCTTAAATATGACAGTAAGAGACCATCAGACATCAGATGCGGAAGTCAGAGACCAAAGCAATAAATAAATAAATTTAAAAAGGAATTCTGAGTAAACAGAGACCATGCAGGGAGCAAAATATAACAAAAGAAAACTATAACTATTTTCCAGTTAAACATAAAAGAAAATCTTGCATTCATGAAATAAGACAAAGAGGGAGGAAGGAAGGAAGGAAGGAAGGAAGGAAGGAAGGAAGGAAGGAAGGAAGGAAGGGAGTGAGGGAGGAAAGGAGGAAAGGAGAAAGGAAGGAAGGAAGGAAGGAAAGAAGGAGGGAAGGAAGGAAGGAAGGAAGGAAGGGAGGGAGGGAGGAATTGTGGAGGAGAGGAGAGAAGGAAGGAAGGAAGAGAAAAGGGGTCAGAAAGGAAGGGAAGGAAGAACTGGAGGACAAAATAGAGCTCTTGAAAATCAAAGACATCAAAACATGAATTTAAAATTCAATAAGAGCTTGGAAGATAGAGTTGATGAAATCTCTAAGAAAGTAAAACAAAGTGACAATGAGTTCCAAAAAGAAAGAGCAGAGAAGACAAAGGGGCAGAAATTCTCCAATAAATAATACAGAAAAAGTTCCCAGAATTGAAGAACATAGGTTTCCAGAATGAAAAGTCCATGGAGGGCCCAGCACAATGAATAAAATATATATCTGCTCCAAAACACATACATCATTATGAAACTTTAAACACTGGTGATAAAGAGAAAAAAAACATAAAAATCTTTTAGAGAAAAAAGACAGGTCATATACAATAAATCATAAATTATAATGCCATCAGTCTTCTCAATAACAACCTGAAAGCTACAAGAAAATTAATGAATGCTCTCAGAATTGTGATGGAAAATTATTATTCATTCAGAATTCTATACCCATTCAAACTATCCAGTGTGAGACTAGAATAAATACATTTTCCGACCTACAGGGTATCAAAAATTTTACAATACTTCCCATGCCCTTTTGCTCAGAAGTTGCTAGGTAACTTCTTTTAAGTGTTCACCTGATTAGGCCAGACCCACCTAAGATGATCTTCCTTATATTAACTTAGAGTAAACTGATTAGGATTCTTAATTACATATGCAAAGTCCTTTTTGCCATATAATTAGCATAATCTCAGGAGTGATGTTTCCTCATATTTAGAGGTCCTGCCAACACCCAAGGGGAGGGGATTACACAGGGCATGTCCACCAGGGAGCCATCTTCGAATTCTGCCTACCAGAGTATATTAAAAACAAACAAGCAAGAAAACAAATGAAATAAACTGAAGCAACTATGAACTACAAGGGAAAAAACAAGTTGTCCAAGAAAGGAAATGTAATCACAGTATATAACAGCTCAGCTGGAAC